GAGAGAGAGAGAGAGAGAGAGAGAGAGAGAGAGAGAGAGAGAGAGAGAGAGAGAGAGAACATCAAGCCTAATTCTTATTTCTGGATCCACAATGGGCAGTAAGAAAAGATATAAACCTCATCACCACTTATATCAAAATAAAGAACACAGAGAGATAGTTAACTACTCTTAGTTTACAGACAACCATACAGAGCTGTGAATAGCTGTGAAGCTTTGTAACTCAAGGTCCCAAGTGAAAGAAACCAAGATGAATCTGATCTACAGACCAGTTTGACTTACAAAAATCCCCATGAACATGGTTCCTGCAGAATGTCTTTAATTTGAAAACAATCTGAAAGTTCCTGACATGATGGATAGAATATTTCAGAGCCATATCAGAGTTCACAGCCACACCATCAACATGAGAGTTACATTACTCGAATTGTGTTTCTTTACCTGTCAGTCAATGCTTCCCCATTAACATCAAGGAGACAATGGCTACACCATAAACTGACCAATCAGAACAAGTTCTTACAAATACTAAACACACACACACATGTAAATTGTGGCCTACTATGTAAATGAGCTACATTATAATTGCTGACTTCTATACAAACGTGCTTACTTTCCACCAGTTCCCCTTTCCAATAACCTCATTCATTTCACATACAACAGAAGAGATTAACACTACCCAAACTAAAGGAGGTCTAAATGTCAGAGTAAAAGGGAAAATAGTGTTAGTAGAAACACATGTGAAAGTGTTCTCTGCAGCTTTCCTTGGGATGATGGAAGGATGCTTCCTCCACATCTTTTCATAAGGAAAAGTGTTACCAGCACATTCACTGCTTTATTTCCTTTATATTATTTCTAAAAATATACTGCAACCACCTTTACAAATTCACCTAAGTTTATTATTAGATATACAATGTCTATAGTCACATACTCTCAATTATGGAAATCAGTCAGTAAAATGAGTATCAGATTGATTTGATTAACAACTTTAATGGTTTGAAAAACACAAGAAAATTGTGACATTTTCTAGGAAACTATCTGAAAAAAAAGCTGGTACTTTAAATATAACTCCTACACATAAATGCATAGTTATGTTTCAAATCATGTTGTGAGGGCTTAGACACAAAATTAATCACCATTCTTAAAACCTTATCGTAACCTTATATCCATGATAAATTTCGAGAAATGCACTGAGGAACTTTTGGTGCAACCTCTGGAGGACATTTACAAAAACACAGTCTGAAACAGAGGCTACAGCATCAGAGACTACAACTAATCCCAGCAATTCCAGTATTTGGGAGGCAGAGACAAAGTTCTCCGTGTCTGTCTGTCTCTGTATGTCACTGTCTCTGATTCTGTCTAGCTCTCTCATTCTCTCCTCTCTCTCTCACACACATGGGCGGGGGTGGCGTATAGTTTTGGTGTCTCTTTAGCTCTGAGATGATGAGAAAGTTCTTATTACTCTTTGGTGTTGTTTCCAAATTAGCAGCCAGTACATTCATTTTCTCACAGAAACTGAAGATTTTCTTCAGTAAGCAAGGCTACTTAAAGAACCCAGAACTTTCATAGAGTCTACCTTATCACCACATCTTCCAATGGAAATATATAAAGGTTTATAGGACTATGAAATAAACTTGAAAGGTAGCTTTTAAAGACTAATTGAACGGGTAGTGTAACTCAGAGACAGGCCATGTTCTTAGGCCTGAGAGACACTAGGTCTAATCCACATCTCAGCAAAAGCAAGCATATTAGGACAGAATTAGGTCAGAGAATTTGCCTAGTACGCATGAGGCCCTGGGTTCAAAAACCAGCACCATGGGAGAAATATAAACTACATTTAAAACCATTAAGACACATTTACTTAGTAGATCATTAGATCACCAACTACAAAGTGAACCATATAATTACTTGAAAATGCCAACTTTAAGTTTCATTTTAAAAAAGGAATGGCAAAATATTTTATCAACTTTTAATGGACTGGCAAATGAATTTCAACAATTCAGAAAGGTAAGAACATAGCTGAATGCAAACACCGTCTCAGAGAGCAATGATGAACTAATAAGTGCTCAGACACTAAACCTATTCCCCAACATCACACATCCACCCCAGCGCATTTTATGTTTCTACACACCAAAGGAAAGGCTCTCTTTAAAGAACTATTTGCAATGAAAACAAAGGGCTCACATAACCCAAATGCAGTAACCAACCCATTAATGAGTGGAGGAATTATGACATCATCAGAAACATGTTAGCCAATTACCACATATTCATACCCACATTACCATGTCATTGTCTGAACTTCAGAAAGTGACTGCTATTTTTCTGCCTTTAAGTAGATTCTGCTATGTGCACGATGTCTGGTAATTTAACTAGTATAGAAATGCAGAAAGTATGTACAATTATTTGGCTACCATGTTAGGATACCCAATCCAGACAATATGGAAGTTGAAACATGGGTACCAAAGCAATGTAAAAAGACTGCACCTTCTAGTTTTTGTCTCTTTAAACTGGTCTAAGCTTGTAAAGTACTTGATTAGCTCACATAAAGGGGTGAGGATGCTTTCTCATTATTTCCTATAAACTGAGTGATAGCTAAATGAATTTTCAATACAGCATGCCTTTATTCCTACCTGAGACAGCTGGAGGTGACAGAGGGGCTAGGTGATAGACAGCAGAGAGAAGTTCTCTTATAGTTTCCATAGCACCACGGACAAACAGGGTTCCTGAAGCATTTAAAAGAATTACATGACACAATCTAATGATGACTCTACTACATATAGTTGTGAAAGAATAAAGTTCCTCACCATATTCATTGTCAACCACCAAGAAAAGCATATTTCAGAATTTTAAATATACACTTTTGAAAACTTTCAGACATGAGATCCTGTACATGACAGACTGAAGTATTTTACTCTTCAGATATCTCTGTGTTACATGGTAATTGAGGATGTGACCAAGTTAGCCCTAGTCTTTCAACCAGCCAACAAGGTATTTGTTTCATAAAATGTCAGAAATACCAAAAGTTCAAATATGTTAAAAGATAAATTAGATTAACATAAAAATTATTTTTAAAAGTCTTGAAACTGTTGATTATTTTAAATTACTGCACTTGAGGATAAATACTACTATATGTCTCAATTATTTAACAGTACTCTTTGTAATTAAATTTCTCTTTAAGACAAAAAGGATATTGGTTTTGATTTTACAGGAAACAATGGGAATGTTTTAATAAATTGGAATTCAATGAATAAAACTAATGTTTTAATTATCAGAAAAATATAAATGAGGAAAAATAAGAAAAGGCGATTTCTTAAATGTTTGCTTTACAACATGAAGAGGAAAAAACAAACAACTCTAAAAATCATCTGCTAACTCACTGTATTTAAAGAAATAAAAATGAGACAAGATTAACAGGTAACATATTTTAGCTCAAAATCACAAAATCAGTATGATTTCTTGGAAATAGAGAAGCAAAGTGGAAACAGACCATAAAGCTGAAATATTAGTAAAATACACACAATAAGCAATTTTATATTTTAAAAAAAAACTTCCGAAATAGGATCTTACTATGCAGATTAAGTTGGCTTCAGACTCAACACAACAGACCATCCCACCCCTGCCTTCTGAGTGCTGGGATTAAAGGTGTATGTACTTTATTTTTTCAGAGGGTTTTTTTTTTTTTTTTTGAAGAAATCTCTGGTTCATAGTAGAAAAACAAGAAAGTTATTTTGAAACCACTAATCTTTATTTCCAATACAGTCAACTTACAGTGACAAGGACAACACAACACACAATTATGTATCTGTTTCTATTCCTATTCAGGCTATTTATTTATGCTTGCCTAACTTTGTTCCATGCTATCACAGGTCGGTTTAGCATAATGTGTACCTTTTAGTCAATTACAACAGCAATACAGCTTTCTAGCATGATTCAGTTTTGTTTTCATTTTCCCTAAAGGTAGAAGTGACATTAAGTGACAGTTGCCATAAATTTTTATACTGGTCCATTAAACTTGGAAAAATAACACAGCAAACAGGCACAGCTGGGTCTATATGAACAGGCAGCAAATCTAAATACATGTATTTCAGAATAACAAATGACAAAGCCCACAAAATAATCACAGGTGTTTGTGTATCTGGAAGATTACAAGTCAGACTCGGCAAAATGAAATAATCTACACTAATTAGTACATCCACTTTCTCTAAAAGAACTGGACATTTAAACTTTATTGTCAGATATGTCTGTTACACTGTAACTGTTTCTGAAATGGAGTTTATTGAATACATTATAAATGAAGTGACTACAAGTTTCACAATGATTTTAAGTAACATAACTACTAATTATACAGGCATATAACTACGTATTTTTAGCCTTCTAACTATTCCTTTAATTTAATTATTTTCTCCAAATACCCTTCCCTGCATCAGCCTTGTGATCATCCAAGTCCAGGATAAATAACAGTCAATTTATCTTTGCCAATCCCTCCTCTTCAAACAGGCTAAACACAAAATCTCCATTTGGAACAGCTGGTTCTCTGTTTCCCACTATGATACAATTGCTCAGATCTTTGAAGACACTACAAGTTCCTCAGCTACCACACTAGTTCACTGATACAAGTGTGCCTTTACAGCGTGTCACTTTAACATCAAACCTAAGTTCTTCCTTGAGAGCCTGTTCATATACAATGATTCAATTAAAAAGAACTATGTTGGGTATAATATACACACATCAAACACGGGTGATCCTCATATACAATGCATTAACTATGTTAACGCACTACCATGTGAACAAAATGCCCTCCCTGGGGTCCTAAGCTCTACGTGGACTTTCGATAATTTATTTACCTCTTGCTGTATTCTATGATGACTTCATCATCTCTGGTAAGGTGGCTAGCAACGAGTGAGAAAGTGACTAGATGCAAGCAAACATTGTGATAAGCAAGACCTGGCTACTTCCCATTCTTACTGTATCCAAATACAGTCTTTCTCAGCTGCTTTACAAACCACCAGGAGCCCAGCTGTCTTTAGCTTTTTCATTCATTATGGCACTTCACAACACAGTAAGTCCAGCTGATCTGTCACCATGTCGAACGGCCACTTTCAGCACCATCTTAAGAACAGCCAAGAGAAACTATTGTTTCAAATTCTTGAACTTGTGTATGGGGGGGGAGGGGGGCGAGGTACTCTGCCTACATGCATGTCTGTGCAGCACATGCGTGCAATGTCCAGGGAGGCCAGAAAATAGTTGGAACCTCTGAAACTAAAATTATGGATGGTTCTGAGTTGCCATGTGGGTTCAGGCACATGAAGCCACCACCCCAGGAAAAGCAACAAGTATTCTTAACCATCGAGCCATCTCTCCAGCCTCTCCTTGCACTTCTGGATGTAGGTTCTGACTGTCCAGGTTATTATAAGCTCATGGGACAAGAAGTTTGTTTAGTTCAGTGGCATGCTGAGTTTTAAAACTACTTGAGCAGATCCCAAGGACACAGAGTGCAGTCATGGACAATCCTTCCCAGTGCAGGGGAGATAGACGGACTGACCTCTAGCACCAAGAGTTGCTGGGAAGAGAGCTTGCAGAGGGCGGAGCAAGGCTAAAGTAGACTACACGCTTGGGCAAGCTATAAGAAAGCACTTGGGACATTGGGAAAGAGGTGAACTACAAACTGGGGGCAGGATGATGAATCAGTTCTCCTTTGCCACTGTTCTACAAAATAACTGGTCAGGTTGCAATGATAAAGCATGTTCCATCTGCTTCTTGGTAAAGAGTCAAATAGAAAGGAATATGGTTTGTGAGCTTTGGCTTTTGCTCTTTATTGATGTGGGGCAGTAGTTCTCAAGCTTCCTAATGCTGCAACCCTTTCACACAGTCCCTCATGTTGTGGTGAACCCCATCCATGAAATTATTTTAGTTGCTACTTCATAACTGTAATTTTGCTAAGGCTACTAATACTTTTGTAGATAGTTTTCCAAAGTGTTCGCGACCCACAGGTTGAGAACCACTGGTGTAGGTCTTAGAATGATCCCCATATCCTTTTTAAATAAATGCTTCCTCAGCCTCAATCTTTACTACAACACAACTGATAATTATTATGGCACCATCACTTGTATTGGTGCCAATAAAGTGCTACACTGGCAATATAGCTCACTGTCATGGTGCTGGCATACAGCTAGAATCACACTTGTTCACACTTTGCAACACAACTCCAATGAGTAGCAGTTATACGTATCACCCATGAACTCATGTAATACAAGGACAAAAGGCCTTACCTTTTTTTTTTTTTCCAACACAAGGTTTCTCTGTGGCTTTAAAGCCTATCCTGGAACTAGCTCTTGTAGACCAGGCTGGCCTCAAAACTCATAGAGATCCACCTGCCTCTACCTCCCAAGTGCTCTTAAAGGTTTGCACAACCACTGCCCGGCCAAAAGGTATTTCTGAATTAAAAGCAAGAACCCTGGTTTACGGGTCTGTATGCTCGATGTCTTATCTAATCTATCTATATCTTCCAAATTCATCTCAGTGAAGACCCTTTCACCTTGACAGTAGATCCTTTCTTAAATGGACATTGGCTGGTTATGCTCTAACCATGTTTTAAATGCTATGCCTTTTTCTTGTCGATTTCATCTGTTCCACTATTTCAAAGGAATGTTTCAACTCTACATACTTGGCTCTACATCTATAGTGTGAATAGCCCTCACAACTGTAAAATACAAATCATGGTATTACCTTATCCCTTAAAATGTCTCTACTCAAACACAGAATCTTCCTTTTTTCTGTTCTTCTATATCCACACAGTACTAAGGTCTTTAAAAGCAATTAAGCTATGCACTTAGTATGATAAGAAGCAGAGAAGACAACTTTTGACTTAAAATCTCTTTATGTTGCCTATCTTGTAGAAAGGTATTATAGGAAAAATACAAAATAACTCCAGAGGCACAATCCATAGCAGTAGTTTTGTGAGTGTGAAGGACTTTGGAGCATTCAGCCCTAACTGTGATGCCTATCAAACCCCTCCTCTCAAGGCTTGGGGATCTATACATAAGAGTCAGAGTTGGTGGGCAACTCCAATGAAACAGTATTTTCAAGATACAACAGGACTGAAAAACATGAACTCACAGAGACTGTGATAGCATGCATGAGTCCTGCACAGGTTCAAACCAGGCAAAATTCCAACACTGAGGAGACAAAGCAGAAACAAATTCCCACCCATGACCAGCTGATACCTGCTAGGAAAGGAAAATCAGTTTCTCCAAAGGAGTGTCACTGAGTATATCCCACACTCCATGGAAGGCCAACACAAGACAGATCCCATGTTTTTGTTTTGTTTGTGCATGTGTCTGTGTGCTTTTTCCTTTGGTATTTTGAGAGAGAGAAAGTTGAATGGGTAAGGAGGTAGGATGGGACTGGGAAGAGTTGGGAAAGAGAAAAGAATATTATCAAAATATGTTACATGAAAAGTTTTAAATAAAACATTAATTTTTTTAAAAGTTTACAATTATAAAACATTCTGAATTTAGTATTTTTAACAATGCTTCATTCTTTAAAATTTCATTAAAGAGTCAACAATATTAGCATACAAATTGTTCTTGAGAAAAAATAACTTGTGGTCTACAGAAACCACAAGTAACGGGTAATGGTTTTACTGCAGACTCAATGTTCTTCCTAACATTAAGTGTTCTTTGCACTGGCTCTAGATTATCACTTTATCCATGTATTCTTCTTA